TTACGGGGTATAGGTAACAAGACTGTCACTTTTACAATCATATGTGTAACTCCTTTCAAAATATATGTACGATCGCAGACAAAGTCAAATATGGACTTCAACTCACAAAACATACCTACGATCACATATAGGATTCAACATTGACAAACCACGCACTACACGGGGTCAACTTCAACCACTCCTTGCACTCATACCCCTTGCCTTAACCACACAAGCCTTAACCTTTGTCCAACCTCCCAAAATAAAATACTGAGTAATTTGCTTAAATAGTCATTTAGTAAAAGTTCGGATAAAGTTTAAAAAAAAATTCAAACTGTCGGGGCTAAGGTTTTAAATTAAGTAGCAACGATGGATTAGAGTCGATACGGAAACCGACTTGTTATCAAGAGATAACAGAAGACGATCCTCATAGGATCGGCCTGAAACTAGTCAGATCTTGAATCGAAATAATCGAAAAGGACACGTAACACAGGACATACCAATTCTCCAAAACTAACTATAAACGTATGGAGAATAAACCCTCATATGACATCTCACTTAAATTATCCTGAGGCTATGCATAAACCTTCTTTTCAATAGGTGCTTAAAAAATAAGGAAAATGTTGGCACCATCTCTCCTATACATCATGAATCGTCAAAGTTTTTCTTATGAAAATATAATATAACTCCTCAAAACTAACAAAATTTCGACAACACTCCCTCTAGAGAAAGTGTATTTTCAGAATTTATACTCAATTGAATGTGAGATTTGAAATCGGTTCGTGACTTTTCATAGCCAAATTTTGTTTAACTCTCTGAATTAATAAAATTTTGGCAGCATCTCCTTTAGAGAAGTAGATTTCTCATATTTATAGGAAATCAAATATGAACTCAAGATAAAACTTCAATTCGACCAAGACAAAATTAACTAACTCCTTAGATTTGTAGAAATTTCGGCAGCATTGCCTCTAAAGAGGTGTCTTTCTAAAATTTATACAAAACTAAATTCAAAATCTAAAAATAACTCTTGCTTTACAAAGTCAATATTTGTCTAACTCTCCGATTTAGGAAAAATTTGGGTAGCACTTCCCATAAAAAAGTAGGTTTTTCATATTTTTTTCATATTTTTACTAAGCTAGTTATGAAACTCAGACAAAAAATCGAATTTTATTAAGGCAAAATTTGACTAACTCCTTGGATTTGCAAAAGTTTGGGTAACACTTCCCTTAGCAAAAGTGTCTTCTCACAATTTATACAAAACCAAATACGAAAAATAAGCTTAGCTAAGAAAATGCAGAAAAAATTGAAAGAACTTTTATAGCTCTAGCAAGTGGCGAACATCTAAAGCAACTATCTATCGAAACTAAGACTCAGCGAAAGTAAAGTTCACACTCAACCACATGCAAGTCCATACCATAGTGGGTAAGTACTCTCACCAAAAATCTCATGTTGTTTTCATATAAGATAATTCATTGATCCCTCATATGATTAACCTTTTACTCATCTCACAGGTGTCATGATGCTAGACCATCCAGCTTAGAAATAATGTCTTACATGCCTTAGATTATACACGAACAGGTTACACAACTGCTTTTCTCTTCCTTGGGCATGTGACTAAGACCATTCAACTTCGAAACGAATGTCTGATCGCCCTGGACTGTTTAAACATCAAAAGTTTAATAACTCTCTAACTTGTCTTTAAAATCTGAGCAGGGGACTAAGCCATTCAACTTAGAAACAATGTTAACTTGTTCAGTTTACGTCCAATTATGCTTTTAATTTTATCCCTCTTATTTTTGATATGGTTTAAGCTGAACCATTCGACTTGGAAACAATATTCAGTTGTCTGTTTGCATGCAAATATAGATAAAGTATTTTCAATTATACTCATTTTTGCATAGCGTGTAGTTTCCAACGAAACCATTCAACTTAGAAGCAATGTTTATCCTTTTATAAAAAATCCTCCCTCAAAATAAAACAAGAGACTGAACGATTCATGCTGAAAAGTCCAGTTTATCCCGAGTCACACAAAAGCATGAAGTAGACCATTCAACCCAACTTCGGTCAGAAACCCCAAAAGAAAACAGATAGACTAAGTCATTCAGCTTAGAAACAATGCTCCACCTCAAAAACGCCATACAAGTCATTCAACTTAGAAACAATGCTCGGTCCTTCAGAAAACAAGCAAGGAACATAACGCATTTAAATATCACATTCCTTCAAGTTTCACATTCTCCTCGTTCATCCCTTAGTCTGATTTCAGTCAAAACAAAATGAAAAATGAAATATACGCATGCATTCCTTTCAATTAATATGATTAAGTTGTGAAACAAGAACAAAACAGATAAAGGACATGTTTCTCATACAAACTAGAGAGATGTAGAGGTAGGGGCATAGTGAGTTCATAGAGAGCAAAAATAATTTATACCTTTCAGTTCTCTGCCTCTAGCACCTCACCTAGATTTCAACAGAACTCGCAATCAGTGGGGTGAAAAGAGACCTTGACACGGATTATGGGTTGCAATCCCACCTGCCGCCTTCCTCTCCGAAGCAATAAACTAGACTTAGGGTCAGGAAAACAGAGGAAGAGGAGTCAGGCTTTCACGATACAAAAATGGGACAGACTCAACTCGCATGAGAGGGTCTTGTTGCCTTGATGCGCCTGAGGGCCCCGCAATGACGGCCAACGACGCAGTGAAGACAGCCAAATCACGGCCTAAAGGGAAAGTAACAACTCTCTAATGACCCTCTTAATCGCAACAATGACCTCTTTGCGGATCCTAACCGCTCCCCTAAGTCACAATATCGCTACCGCTAGTCAAGACGTTATTAAGCAGCCTAAGCGGCGACGTTCAAATACAACACATTTCATGCGCTCTATTTAGAATGTAGACAAAGTGCAGCACTACGCAACCAAAACTCAGTGTGCAAAGTTAATACCCAGCGTTTGTGCACAACAAGATCACAACGATGAGTAGCAATGGTTCATCCATTACACAACAAGTACATAGTGAATGGTTAACTAAAGCATGGTTATACAAAATAAAATAACCTGCTAACGCAACAACATCTAGCTACGTCCACATCAGTAAACGCAGCAAGAGCACAATCTTTAGCAGAGATTTAATAAGGGAAAATGTATATATATATATATATATATATTCTGAAGTTTGACTCTACAAAGGCTGGGAATAGCTTGTGACGCGACAACATATGGACACTGATTATAGCGATCTTGGTTTGGCACCATCGACCTCAGCAAATGACCTCACTTAGAAAACATTTCAGCGGTAGCTTCGAGGTGCAATGGTAGCAACCCCCCCCCTCTCTGCATGAGCAGCCTCACACCCCCAATCTACTAGGTGGATTGAAGACTGAAACAAACAAATTGCAACCTTCTTTTTCCTTTTTCCCACAACTATGATATCACGACAATTCCCTCTCACAGTATCTGCCCCGAACCGCAACCGGGTCCGGCGACTCCGACAACTCCCGGCGAAGTATCTTGGATGTTATTATCACATGCGACATGCGCGACTTCTCAGAGGGTTATAACTACGAACGCACCAAACCCTTGTGAGCACAATTAATTTTAGGACCGATGGTGTAGCGGACCCACCAGGTGTGGTGCTCCGCTAGTGATAGAGATGGAGATAGAGGAAGAAGGGGGGAGCAAGATGGCACAACGCAGCTCCCCACGCAAGACTCCAACGCACGTACTCCAAAATGTGCAAGTGAGGAATGAGCCTGAAAACAGACAATGGCTGGGGTATACCCCAGCGGACTGACGGGACTGGACTGGACTGGCTGGTACCGACAGA